GCAAGAATGATATAAATTCTCTTAAGAGTTTGAAGGAAAATAGATCTTGTAAAATATTATGTTGAGAAAAAAGAAATGATTTTTCCAATTATGTATCCAACCACAGACACTCTGACTACTGTTCTGTTGGTGTACTACAATTAGTATTGCCTGTTTTAAATTAATGAACAAAAATGATTACCTTAACTTACATTACCCTTCGGCCGTAGCCGAGATTGGCTTGATACGTGTGCTCCATGCATTTCGGTCTGACATTAACTTGCCAAGATATTCTAGTGGTAGACCGGTGTGTCCATTATGATGGTGTTAGAGTAGGTAAGAGGTTGTCTACCGGGTATGTTTGTTGGGATACGCCATATAATAGTACCACTTGATCGTTTGCACAGAAGCAATGATAGCAAAAACGGGGCTTTTTTTTGCAGTAAGTGTAGTGGACTTAAGTAGGATTCCCTTGTAAATTTGGATCAAGGTAGAGTGATTTCTTCAGTTTATGTTCTGAGATTTCATTAACAGGTAAGTGTAAGTACCATTCAATATGTAATTCAAGTCACTCTTTATAGTCCAGGTCTCAGAGTCGTGTAACAAAATTCTCTTAACACATAATCAAAAAAAGGTTAACTTAATTTGTTAGATTGCCAGATGTGGTGCAGCGTGTTGCATGCTGGCCAGGCTTAGATTTACGGCTTGTGAAATCCGTTTCGACTGTCAGTTTATGCATGCTATTTGAAGCCATGAACACAGATAGGGTCAATGCTGAAAATACTTTTTTTTTTTGGTGATTAGACCTTCTAAGTGGTTAAGGTTAAAAGACTGCCGAGAAGATATTCGACAACAACAATGAAAATAAATGTGCAAGTGTATCACCTTGAAGATCCCACAACTGGTGTTGAACAAATGTGTAGGTCAATTTGGAGTGAGAATGTAGCATGTTGAATATTCGTACATTGGAGATGGCTTTCTTAAATTACAGATAATTTGCTGGAGAATTGATCTGGATTTCCTGAATTCATTTTTTTTTTTAGGATAGGGTTTACGTGCACACTCATGTGGTTTAACAAAAGTGAATTGTAAATTTTAGTAGTAAAAGCAGTAATATTGATGCCTTTTCAGGCATTTGAAGATTCCCTTTTTTGAACTGGAATTATAAATGATTTGGCTAAGAAATAGTTCCCAATTAAGGTTTTAATACAGAAGTATAGTAGTTCTTGATGAAAACGAGGATTACTTCAGATGAATGCAATAATTTGGTGTTGACTAGAAGACTTATTTTTGCTAATTTCTTTAGTTCTTTAAGAGAGGAAGGTGAGGTGTCATCTGTGAGTGATACAGCTATTTTATGTTGAAGAATGGGTTAGAAAGTTCTATATTTAAAGGTTAAACACCAGGAAGTGTGTAAAAAATTAGAGTACCAAGAGTTGAGCCTGTCAAAAGCTATAAGATTATTATTAAACAACAGAAAAGAACAGATATCTTTCTAATTATCTCTCTCGAAATATTCTATGCATGTTCATGCTTGTTCATTCATGAACACTCCGAAGCTGTTCTGTTATATTTTTCAGATAGTCTTCGATGTCCCTGGAGTAGGAAAATTCTAGTTTGGTAGCTTCAAATATTAATCGTGTGCTTCTGGTTAAACGACAACGATTTGTTTAAGATGCAGTTTTGAGTTCTCTAGCTCAGTGAATTTCATCATTGTCGAATGTTGGTCAGGTAGACATATTCTAACTTTGTCGTTTATGTAGTGTCTCTATGGTGACTTCCTTATTTGTAGCAACTAGGGTGTTATAAGCCAGATTTATATCAATTTCATCATCAGGATGTTCGTCCAAAACAGTACTTAAGCGATGGTGAACATCATTTGCATATTCCTGCAGTGGCTTCAAGTAACTCTGCGGCAGTCAAGAGCCTTCTTGGGGGTGTTGGTCCGCGGTATTCGATGGTATATACCTAAATTTAAATCTCGAGGAGACATTAAAATGGAAATTTCAATTTGGTAAAATGGTGTATAGTAAGTAAAAGTGTGGATTTATTTGTATCACCAAAACAAATTCAAATACTGACAACATTCTCTTTAGGCATGGACTTTATATTTAAAAGCACGAAAAAGGTAAAATAGCCATATGGATGTCTTGCAAGAGCCTTCATCGGGGTGTTGCTCCGCGGTATTAGATGGTATGTATCTAATTTTATATCTCCAGAAGACAATACGGCGATAAGAGCCAACTGTCTTAAGGATGTTTTAAGTTTGACAGTCCTTGATGGTGTTTCTCCATTTTGTCCTAAATGATTAATAGTCACTATTATTTAATTATTCTTTATTGGTCCTCATTTTAATTGGAAATCGGAAGTTTGGGCTGGGCCTCTGTAGAGCCACTGTAGCCACAGTGTAGTGCTACTTAACTACAGCATAACGTGTAGTTTCTTCCTCTTCAACCTCAAATTAAAGTATTTGTAGGGGCATAACAGCAAATAACTGTAGTTACTTTTTTTAAATTACCGTCAATATTAAGAATGAGGATGCGTTTACTGAACTTCATTATTTGTGGAGTACTTGTAGGCATTTGAGCATTGAGCAGACATTAAATCCGAATCCAATTGTTGAGTTCTTTTTTTTTGTAGTGAAAATAAAAATATAGTTGTCGAGTCTTGCAGGCTGGCGGTCTTCATTGTGGAGTGTTGTTTGAGACTAATCATATCAATAATGTGCTTTTATTGTACTTTCACCAGCTACATTTACGAGAGGGACGAGAGGCGAGGGTCGTTGTGTTAAAGGTAAAGATGGTTAAGTGCTTAGCTCTTTGAATAAAAATACAAATAAGCCTGCTATTCCGTTGCCACCTCTAGACCTAGATCGTACTTATGGCTCCATAAAGTCATACGTGGAGCAGTTGGGGGCAAGAATGCTATGGATTTTAACTCGTGCTTATTTGCCTAGTCATTATATTTCATATGCTGAGTACTGACTGTGTGGGAAACTCCTACAGTCAATAGAAAGAAAAAGAGATAACCATGAGCTGCAAGAGCTTCATCCAATTAATAATTGTTGTCAGGTTTCAAGCAACTCATTTTTTCCTTAGCCTTTGATAAATCAATACCATATTACAAGGCAATAGATTAGAAAGCTTGGAAGATGGTAGAGCACACTAATTCTAATCGCCATTTCCCACGTTTGTCCATAAGCCTCACGGCTTGGGTTAACAGGGTCTACCTTGGAAGGTGTGGGATGGCTTGAGTAGAGAGGCTATAAGCCCAGAGGGGGGATTATTAAATGACCTTCCACTTTACCATGAAATAAAAGCTGGTGACAGCGAGACTAGGGTTCTAGGGTGAAAAGCATGTAGTTGAAATGAGTAAATGTAAAGGAAAGTATGAGATGGTTAGAGCCCATTCACAAGTGCACATCAGCATCATACTCCATAAATATCAAACCAATGATAACAGTTTCACTATGAATACAATGCCCGTGCTACATTGAAGTCTGTGTCAGAAGATTATATTATTACGTCATAGTTTGTGGCTTGTAAAATAATTTGAATTTCTACTATACACTATTTTATCAGGTCTATTTTGAAACAGCGCCACCAACGTCTCGCAGCTTTTTGGGAGACTTCTTGCGGCCTAGCTTGAGCAAATGGCTGCTACAAATAGAACAAGTACCGTGCAACGAATAGCACCATTTGACTTGTGCTGTAGTAGCAGCAGAAAACAGATACACCATTTGCTAATTACTGTATGTGTATCGGATGCCGATGCATATGTTTTTGGTCATAGCGCCCTCTGTAAGGTTGCTAGGCAGTAACATCCATTTTGAATTAATCAAAACTTTTGAATGATTGATGTTCTCATTGATATGTCTGATTTTTGATGCAGTGACACCTGAACCGGTAAATGTTCTTTATTCAATGTTTAAGTAATATACCAGGAACATATTGATGTACTTTCTGGTTAGCGGAAATATTGTGGTATTATGCCTTGTTTAATTTAGATAAACGGGTACTGTATTGCTTTTGCTCTGTATGGAGTTCTCACGGAGTCGGGTGTACGCATTACTGTACGCATTACTGTACGCATTAATGTACGTGTAGGCGTAGCCTAGGCCTAGTTAATTGTTAAATCATTCCATGCAAACATATTCAGGAAATAAGATGATTTTACTATATTTCTCGTACTCATAATTGTATTGATAATCACCATGACAATTGCTAGGTTGAAAAATTTGATTATTTTATATGATATTGCATTGTAAGCATTCTAGGCTTAAATTTAAAGTTATTGTGTTTGAAACTTCCTTCATTGATGATTCGCTGAAAGTCGTACACTCGATGCGGGTCCGTTCCGCTTAATTGAGCAGCACAGCAGGATACTGTTCATACTGTTATTGTTGTTAACTATGATATTTCTCTATACTAGGATCTACATTCGACTGTGGAATCATTTGTAATACATTGACTTACCTATGAACACGATTATAATAATAATTAGTAATTACAATTAATACTGTGGATGAGCAGTGTTGATAATAATATGATAAATAACTACATAAGCCTGAAGTTTGATTTAATGATGATTTAATTAATTAGTGTTATGATTGTATTGCTATTTTCTGAATGTTAATAATTATGATTGTTGTTATTTGATTGCCAGAATTTTACGACACGGCATGATATGACGGCAAGAAATATAGAATAAATGATGATACAGCCGAAGCCAGTAAAATCGTTTCAGTGTCCTTTTTGATCAGCATATTAAAGCTGCTACGTTGAGGCAGCTACAGTATGTAATCATTGAAATAGCTTTTTAAGACTTAGATTTGTGTTTCTGATATTAAAGTTTCGTTCTTTTATCGTTTTAATATACTTGTGCTCGTTAGTATTTTGATTTATCGTTTAATTAATCCATAATGAAAACTACGTAGAGCGAGATGCCAGGCCTCTAGAAGTCCCCTAATGGTACTTGGCAGGTCCTCGGAAATTTCCATTTCAAATTTGGCAAAAATGGTGTATATTATAAGTTTGTATTTATTTGTATCACTAAAACAAATACAAATACTGACAACATTCTGTTTAGGAATTGATTTTATATATAAAAGCAAGATAAAGGGTAAAATGGGCATATGGATGTCTTTCAGGAAGTTGCAGATAACAAAGAATATATTTATCCATTTAAATTTATGCCACTCCTAAGTTTATGTTTACATTTTGCTAGCAGAAGCGTCAATAAAAAAAAAAATTTTAACAAAGAAAAACAATTCACACTAAGATGGATCAGAAACTGGTGAGGCCATGCGAATTCATATGCTAATGTTGCGAAAACTTAATTTATTTGCCATCAGTGAACTTGCTTGTTACAAGGAAGTATAATTTACAGGTATTCTTGTTTCCAGATTCATCTTCAGCAGTAAACTCTACTTCATAAGGTGGATACAATCTTGGTGCAAAACTTTCACCAGATTGGTAGGTTGACGTCATCTTTACATGACCTTCGCTGTTGTCAGACATAGTAGGGTAATCCCAAGTTACTGTACTTGTTTTGGAACCCGAATCGATTGCAGCTCTGACAATGCCGAAGTATGTATCGTGGTAATTTGTGATATTTGTTGGACATGTGATAATCGGTGGTTCGATATCTGAAAAAAGAAATATTTTTAATATATTTGATTGAACTTCAAACAATATGACACGTTTTATATATATATATATATATCTGTCTCTTATACACAACTTTCTGAAAATCCATGAAATGTAAACGGACAGATTCACTTTGTAAACGTTTCATTGTAAAATGTTAATTGAAAGTAATCCATTGCTGAATATTGTAAAAAAAAATGTAATTTAGTCATATTGTTTCTACTTGAGGTGGAGCTTATTTATTTAGGTCTTCATATTATTTCCTATATCACTTAGGGATTATAGAAACGATAAATATTATGTATTATAAAGGGACTTCTTATAGCTCATTATACCATAGTACTTTGAATGTGTTTATATAAATTAAAAGTTAAATTTTAAAAAAGAACAATGCTATGGGAAACAATTTATGTATTATGTATGTATATATAATTAAACCATGTTTGCTTACCTACTATTGTAAAATATACGTAACAGGATATATTATTGCCAGATTGATCGGTTGCAGTGAATTGTACAGTGTATGGTGGAAACTGTCGAATAGGAAACTTATCACCTGATTTATATGGGAAACTTTCCCACGTGACAGGCTCTTGACTGTTGTCGTTGACCTCTGGAGAAGGCCACGTGACTGTTGCATATGACCGATTGTAATCGGCAACAAGGCGATGAAAACCAAATACATAATCATAGTAATTAGAGAAATTACTGGGACAAATTATTGACGGTTTTTCCAAGTCTGAAATAGATAGTAGATAATTTAACACCGTTAAAATCAGACAATGGCGTGGCCCTGGTCAAAAGTCAAACGACCGAAGCGAACTGAACGACATAATGCAATTTTCATTCTTAAACAGTAAAATACATTCATACGTTAATGAATACTGACTACCTTTTAACGACCACTTTGCATTTCCCTTATACTGAGTGTTTATATTACAATGGAACTTGTAAAAGTCAGAACATATTTAAAACTCATCTCAATATGATTTCACCGACGCTGCGTCTCAGTTCGTGGTGCGACCTCACATATGTATCTTATATACGTGAATAAAATTTAGTTTGTCAAGAAATATATTAAAATTACCTAATACACTAGAAATATGAAACTCAATAATTTATTATTTTCGCACGAGCACGAATCTTTAAGTTACCATTAGAAGGACGTGAAAAATATAATAATAAATATAAATGATGTAAATGTTTTGGTGCTTTTTTTAGGATACAAAGCGCCCACAATTAGAGATAAACAAAAAACAACAAAGGAAACAATGAGTAAAGTATAATGTGCACAACGAATGAATCAATCCTGCTTCGAAAATGGTAGAGGCGTCCATCAACATGCATCGAGGCAGCGTCTTTTCACAATTGGATACTCAAAATAAACACCGGCTAGTTCGATATAACAACAGCTTCTGCCCCTCAGCCTAAAAAGAATAAAGCCACAACTATACTACACTAATCTTACCTTCGACAGTGATTGCAAGTAAACATTCCCCTATATTTCCAGACATATCTCTCACTACATATTCAATGAAACTTGTACCAGCTGAAAAGGTTCCATTTTGTGCTAAGGTGATATCAGTGTGATTTAGGGTAGAGTTAGACGGCACAACACGAGAGTCGTTTGCCATCCAGTGAAGTACTCCAGTGTTATCGCTGAGTGTAATGTTCCATATTAAGAAAGGAGATTTTGAATATAATTGAGACGGACATTCGACTGATGGACATTCCAAATCTGAATAAATAATAAGTATAAATATTTTTATCGTTAATTATTGCCGTGCTATTAAGGAATTTGTGAACGTTTCATTATTCAAATGGAGCAGGGCTTTAAATAAAGCGAAGCCACAGTAACTGTGAAAAGAGACAACGACTTTTTGGACATTTGTTTTTTCATTTACAAAAATCATGAACAATTATTTTTAGTTGTAGTTGAGGATTTAGATAAGTGTTTGTCACTTTATCACGACTACATCTATTCTTGGCTATTTTAGTCTAACCCAGTGGTTCTCAATCGTTTTTCACCCGCAGAACTCAGGATTAAATGTCTTTACGGACCTCGAGGTCTAAGCAGTATTATTTCAGAAAAGAATAAAATATAATAGTATGAATTGCAACAAAATACATGAAAGCTAATTCACGATTGAAGGACTCCATATTGACCCTCTTGGCTAGGCGAATCCCAATAATTAAACAGACAGGTGCGTAGACACCAGGTTGGGAACTTCTGGTTTACATAATAATTACATCACAGCAATATTATTAGTTCGTTAATGTTCAATCGTAAACTTTGGCATTGCGTATTAAAGTGTAACATTCGCATTTGTAATGGATCATATTATCAACATACATTTTTGGTCATAATTATTATTTACTGCTGTAAAGACTAATAAAGTCACACATCAAAATTGACAAACCTTCAACTGTTATAAAGAATGAGCAATTGCCCATGTTGTTATGTTTATCGATTGCAGTGTACGTTATTTGATGGGAAACAATACTAGCCGGAAATACGTCCCCGGGGTTATAATTTGAGGTAACAGACACCACAGTCCCACTGTTGTCCGTAGCGTTAGCTGGTGACCAATATAACCGAGCAGAACTGGAGGCCCTATCAGTGAACACTGACCAGGAAGATGTAGATACGTTAGAAATCATGTTGTTTGAGTACGTTGGACAGCTTACAACAGGGCCTTCAGTATCTATGATTAAAAAATATACACTGAACACTCAGATTATATATACATATCCCACCACCAATGATTTCTAATGCTATTGTAAAATGATAATAAACACTGAGAAGAAAGTGATTAATAAATGAACATTTTTCTAAGCAAATTTTATGTATATATGTATATATATACATATACATATATATATACATATAGATGTATATATATGTATATAGGTGTGTGTGTGTTTGT